ATGTTATTACGGCATGTTATTTACAAACGTTATTTCTAACATAACATTTTAACGTAAATGGGATACATACTCGGCCTGAATATTATAAGGTTCTCCCTGAATTTGTAAATCTATGGAATTAAAAGTTAGAAGGTGTGTTTTATTACAACTGAAAGGTAAGTATGTTGTTTTCTGTATTGGTTACCATTTTCCGTTTTTTATTACAGTACTGTTTTAGTTAATAAATTAATTTCACTATTTATCTAAACAATTTAGTTAATCGTATTTTTTCTACTTGTCTGACACAAAAGGAAGATAAAATATTATTTTTAGGGTATGTATATTTCTAACAAAATAGCCGTTATGATAAAATAAATACACCAATCTCAATTCACAGAAATATTATCCAATTACACTGTTTTCTCTATCTATCAATTTGACCTTTATTTTATAAATGTACTGTGACCTCAATTAGTATAGTCATAATCCAGTGAAACATAAAAAGTTGGAAGGGAATGGCAAATAATATACCGGGTGATTCAGTTTAATATTCGCGGACTCATATCTCTTTTATTTTAACAAATAGCTATAACAAACCCTATATATTTTTAAATCGCCGCTCAAACGCTATCAAATGACATTATCAGATCGTCTCCATGGTAACATGTGTCAAAATTGCTATAGTCAATTGTTTTTGTTCAAATGGCACAATATATACTTTTTTAATCAATTCTGGAAAATATTTTTCTTCTGCGTTCAGCTATATAAGGAAGTGTACCTATAGTTTCATTAGAAATATTGCTAGAAAAACAGCAAAAATGATGAACCCTACTTTCATTAGCTTCATTTTGAAAAATGATAGCCAGTTGCGGAAACAACTGAATTTTAACGTTTCTAAATAACGGTTTGTCAAAATAATTGACATTTTGTACCTACCTATTATATCTATAACTAATAATTATAACATGAATACTTACAGTAACTAAGAAAAACTAGATATGATTTAAATTTATGGAGAAGGCTGAAAGAACGCTAAAGCTGCCAGGTATTTATAGGTGCCAACATCGTTTCCCGCAGAGACAACTTCCATTAGAAAAAAATTTCGAAAAGTTAGCCAGGAATTTGACGGCAGATGGAAGTTTTCAAAAGAAAAGAAGAGTTTTAAAGCAAGAAATGAAGAACATTCGATAAAGATGTTAAATGGCCTGCTAGATCTCCGGATCTCACCCCTATAGATTTCTTTCTTTGGCCTTACCTAAATGATATGACGACCTTAAAAATAGAATGTGGAATGTCGGAGATTAAATGAAGAAACACGTTTGTAGAGAGGGAGTGATAAACAGTACTATTCTGTGTATGGAAGCAAATGGAGGTCATTTTGAACATTTGAAATAAGCATTGTTTTAAATTGTTATATTATTATCGTATAAAAAATAAAATATGTTACTTTAAAAAACATAATAACTTGTTTCCGCAGATGGTTATCATTTTTCAGAATAAAGCTACGAAAAGTAGGGTTCATCTTTTTTGCAGACTTTCTAACAATATTTCTAATGAAACTATAGACTTTCATACATAGCTGAACACAGAAAAAAAATATCTTCCATGATAAAAAAATATATAGTGTGCCATTTGAATAAAAACAATTGACTATAGCAATTTTGACATATGTTACCATGGAGACGATCTAATTATGTCATTTGATAGAGTTTGAGCGGCGATTTAAAAATATATAGGGTTTGTTATAGGTACCTATTTGTTAAAATAAAATAGAAACAGGGCCGCGAATACCAAACTGAATTACCTGGTATATCAATCACGGGTATTATTCATTAACAAATTATGTGTATTTATGAACTCTGTCATGCAATAAAGTAAAACATTTTTATTGCGGTAAAGAGAAAATTGAATATGGAAAATCAAATCTTATGAACAATCACAGTATATTTAAATGTCAGTATCGTCAACATCAAATTCAGACTATATAAATACGACTTTAAATGATCTCAAATATTGTAAAATTATATATTTACATTTTGATAGTGTAGGAATTTAATACTTTTTGAAAAACACGTTTGAATTTATTGGAATTAGCCCAATACCTTTACGCTAGAGTAAAAATAAGAAAGTTAATAATCGGAATATATATATATTTTTAAGAAATTTAATAAAAAGGGCAAATATTTATTAAGCAAAAAAAAACAGTTGACAATGATTTAGTTACATTTACATTTGACACTGTCAGTTTCAAAAGTTTTGTTTTTTTTTATGTAGGGTGTCCCGGTACTTGACACAAAGAAGTCGAGTACAAATAATATCAGTTCTTCATATAATTTTTTTTTCATACGGACCTTCGTCAACAAGATACGGGCCCTCAAAGAGAAAAATTAAAAAGTTATTTTTATTTACAGTCTCTAAAGTATTAACTTCAGCATGATACTTTAATGATCGATAACACATATGTACAGCTTGTTTTTGATGTTGTAAGTGACACAGGACGCCAGTGACAGACTGTGCCCAATGGTTAACAACCCAGAATTGTTGCATAGATGACGCAATCTTCCTGTATCAAAAATAAGTTCCCTGATGAATTTGCCAACGACAATACCCTCTTGGTTTAACTCGATAAAATTAACAGTTTAGGAAATATTTGTGATTTTATGTCACAGTGCACATCGAACTGCGCCTCCACCATTTTTAGTTTTTAATTTTTAATTTTTAATTGGACGTAATTACTATGTTAGGACCGTACAACTAGGTTAAAAAAAATCATGAAAGAAAGAAAAGTATCAAAATACATTTTTAATATGAGCATCTTCTACCTATACACACTTCCCAAGTCTAACAATGTTATTTGTTTGTACACGAAAAAACATTTCTGCACTGAAAGAAATGGGCTTATTAAACTGTTTATCTAGAATAATGTGTATAGCGCATATTAAAACTTTTATAACAAATATACAACTTTTATTAAAAAAAGCAATCATCTCCATACTCATTATTCAATGAGTTAATAGGTGCTTAATACACCTTATGCATCTATGAAATAAAGGTTATAATGAATTACTTATACATTATTATGAGTTATAGACTTTATGATCCAATTGTATAGTAGGGAAAATTTGTTGTATAAAGACCAGTATAAGAATTTGTATATAACAGTTATATTAACAGAATTATTCGTTCTTATATTGATTATATTTCCGTTTTTAACGTGTAAAAAGCGTCTTATAATGGTTAAGTGATCGTCACCTCTCGGTGCATAATCGGTTATGACCGTAAAATTTCCGACAGTCCGCTGTGCATCGACTTAGACCATTACACGTCTAGTTTGAAGAAAATAGACAGCATAGGCACATGATCATATCGCGTTGTGTGAAATGGAAAATTATGTAAGTATCTAACTGTTTTATGGCTTGTAATTGTTTTGTTTCTTCAAATGTAAATCTTGTCTAAATCTTAAAAAATATATTTTTGTATTTTAGAAACCGCTGGTTTTACATAAGATGGAGGAACAGAAGGTTAACAGTGACAAAGAAGAGCGTGGGTATAAAGTCAATCAACCAGAGGAAATAGAATTAGATGGGAAGAAGCTTAACCTTTCAGGAGATGCTTCATTCTTAAGGTGGAAGAGTTATAGCGCAAATTCTCATGTAATACAAGAAAATACAGGTGCATCGTTGCTAAGAAAATAAACTGGACAGTTTTGGGAGCGATTTATCATCATTTCTAATACTTAAATGTATGTTTTATGTTTACATTAGAACTTAGCTTGTAACTACAGTTATCCAATAAAATTTCTGATTTGTTTTTAATTCATACAGAGTACTATATGTTCTAATAACGATATGGAACACTTTAATAACAGTTATTGCTATTATTTCGTAAAGGGTATAAAAAACATTGTATACTAGTTCGTATAATGGCATATAGAATTCTAATAAAGAATAAAGCGCATTTCTTTCAGTGTGTAATGTGTAAAATGTGTTTGTCAAATTTTGTTAGTGAAAATTACATTAACAGACAGTAAGATTTTCTAGGCTCTTATTTTAAAAATATGTACGGTTTTAACATAGTAATTATGTCCAATCAAAAATTAAACACAAAAAATGGTAGAGGCGTCGCTCGATGTGCACTGTGACATAAAATCACAAATATTTCCTAAACTGTTAATTTTACCAAGTTGACCCAAGAGGGTATTATCTTTGGCAAATTCTTCACGGAACTAATTTTTGATACAGGCAGATTGCGATCGTCACCTAGGCAAAAATTCTGGGTTGTTAACCATTGGGCACAGTCCGTCACTGGCGTTCTGGACATAGCGAAGTTTCACAGACACCATTAAAAACAAGTTGTACGTATGTGTTATTGATTACCAAATTTGCATCATGTTGGTGTTAATACTTTAGAGACTGTAAATAAAGGTAACTTTTTAATTTTCATTCTTGAGGGACCGTAACTTGTTAACGAAGGCCCATATGAAAAAAATTATATGAGGAACTGATATTATTTTGACTTCATCTATTTGTACTCGATTTTATTTAATCAACTACTGGGACACTCTGTATAATTATGTTTTATTAATATAGTTATTAAATTCATTCGTAAAGAAGTTACTTTATAAAATAATCCTATGTGGAAATAGAAAGATCTCAAAGGCGAAGTGAAAAATATAAGATACTTTTTTGAATAATTACACTACTTAACAATTTCAATATATCAGGCAATTGTGTACTTTTGTATTAATCTTTTGCTTACTTATATTTCTGGTGTCGAAGAAAATGTTTAAGTTCGTTTGATAAGATCTTGATTTTGATGGGGTTGAAATTGCTTTACAATGGAATAGAATAAAATAAAATAACGACATAAAAGCGATAAAAATATGTTATTGATGTCAAATACATTCAAATTTGAACTAACGAGATATCGTTATTTTTTACACATTATATCAGCGAAACCTAGTCAGTAAACAAATTACGTAAATATATTAAAATATTAAAATCACAAAAATATGGTGACATAAATCGAGGGACTTATTTAAGTGACATCTTCATTAGATGATACAGTGTTTTAGAGGCGTATTTTTCCGTTTTTATCAATTTTTTTAATCAGTCTATTGACGACGGTAATGATGGTTTTAACTAAAAGTTTATTATTTTTTCTGTTCATCATCCATTACTGTTATGGTAAGTGACTATTATACATTGAAAATATTTATTTGTCGCCATATTTTAGGTATTTTCTCTGTAAAAAAATGTAAACAAATTCCTTAAAAGACTAAATCAAGGGTGGTTTCGTGCAATTATTTCTTTAAGATACTCATATTTACGTATTTAAAATGAATTATAAAAAATATTCCTTATTGTCACCAAATGATGAATGAGCCAAAATTGTCCCGTCTAAAATTATGAAAATAATTTATACGGAGATTTTACTATCAACCACTCATAAACAGCAGAGTCAGTAATTGACAAATTTTGCATCCTTTGGGAATTCCTAAGACTTTAAAACAAAAACAGAAATTTTAAAAATTTTAAACTTTAAGCATGCATGTATAAAAAATATTCTGGGTTCTGGTAAAATCATAAGACACAAACGTTTTAAGGTTTTTTAAAATCTATTACAATAAAGAAAAATTAATACACAGGATTAATATACAGGATCAGTTAAAAAATCAAGACAAAACAAAATTGCTTTTTCTTTAATAGAACGCCCTGTATATTATTCCATATTTCAATTCTTCCCGAAATTCTAAACTAAACTAAACTAAACTAAACCGTTTTCGATACATCAAACTTTGAAAATCATATTTTTATAAATTATATAAAAATATTTTAGTCCATTAAGTTTATAGTCCATCAAGTTTGAAAGTTTCTAGCTCCATAACAACGCCGCATCGTTCTCTTGTCTAATACTGATTATTTTAACAACACATGTCAGAGTACCTTTTTTGTAGTAAATAATTTACTTAAGCTAAATTTTATACTTAAAATTCTTTTCATCCATTGGGGTAAAATTATGGAAGGTGTAATTACTAAAAAACCTAAGTTCTACGACAATGGATTGATATTACTCATAGTTTTGATATAGGGTTTGTTGTTCTATAGAGCGGTGACAACTTACCAAATTTTAGTAAAATTGCATAAGGCGTTTTAAATTTATAGAAAAACGATTTCAAAATTGTAACTTCAGGGCCGTATACCACCCAATCGGAGCTAATTTGAGTTAAGATAAGTTTAGCTAAATCGACTTATTTTGAGCCGGACTGACCTTTTAGGGACACCCTATATCAAATTTTCGTATTTCTTTTATTCAGAATTGATTGTTCTCTTCACAGGTAGCAAAGACTGTACCATCTCAGATATATTATTACGGAGGTTCGAAAAAGGACACTATACGTTTTATTCAGGACAGCGGCTTCAAAAAGCCAATTCTTCGATATCATCACCAACGAACTACTACGTAGTGACTGTACTAGCTTATTACAGTAATTGTTTGGGATTCACAACTGAGGCATTGGACACGGTAATACTTGACTGCCCACAAGAATACGCCGAAAAGATTGGTTGCTTCAAAATTTTAACAGCTAAATTCAATCCCCAAAATAACACTGCGTTCTTTGCTGAAAAGGTACCTACCTTAACAATACGAAAATATATTTTTTATGTTTTATGAAATTTTTCACTTGGCATTCGATATATTTCAGGAGAATCGCACATGTGCGAGCAAACTAAATGAATTCTGTATAGGACTTAAAATTCAAGACAATATAACAATAACTCTGGATTGTGATTACTATACGGAAGGGGCGTATTATATGCCATACGGAGTTGCACAAGTAGGATCAGCTAATACAGGACAATTTACAGGACCTCTTAATTCGGGACCACCAGGAGCAAGAGGTTACCCGAAGAAATAAATAAATAAATTTTAATTAGAACAATTTAATTTCAATTTAATTTATTCCTTTCCTTCATAACTACCCAACTAACACAAATGCTACACTGAAAGAAATGGGCTTATTAAACTGTTTATCTAGAATAATGTGTATAGCGCATATTAAAACTTTTATAACCAATATACAACTTTTATTAAAAAAAAGCAATCATCTCCATACTCATTATTCAATCAGTTTAACTGGAAGGTGCTTAATACACCTTATGCATCTATGAAATAAAGGTTATAATGAATTACTTATACATTATTAGGTGTTATAGACTTTATATTCCAGTTGTATAGTAGGGAAGATTTGTTGTATAAAGACCAGTATCCGAATTTGTATATAACAATTGTATTAACAGAATTATTCGTTCTTATACTGAATATGTTTCCGTTTTTAACGTGTAAAACGCATCTTATAATGGTTAAGTGATCGTCACCTCTCGGTGCATAATCGGTTATGATCGTTGTTAAGTTATATTCATAGTCTTGTAATAATAATCATATGTCAGACCCGAGAGCGAAGTGCGCCGACTCAATAAGAAACCTGGCTATTCCAGCCGCTGATTTAGGGTTCGCCGCACGAGCTCATCCCTTCTAAGATTTCAGTAGCATGCTATGCATGAAGCAGAACGGTACTCAACTATCTTATACAGTCCACTTTTATTGTCCATACATGTTCAATCATTGTCAAAATAAACACACAAAACCACAACGTCTTTATTATCTTTACTCAAGAAGAGAAAATACAACAATCGTAAAATTTCCGACAGTCCGCTGTGCATCGACTTACACACGTCTAGTTTGATGAAAATGGACAGTATATGCACATGTTTTGTGGGATACATGATCATATCGCGTTGTGTGAAATGGAAAATTATTATGTAAGTATCTAACTGTTTTATGGCTTGTAATTGTTTTGTTTTTTCAAATGTAAATCTTGTCTAAATCTTAAAAATTATTATTTTGTAGGTCCTATTAGAAATCGCTGATGTTAAGTTTTACATAAGATGGAGGAACAGAAGGTTAACGGTGACAAAGAAGAGCATGGGTATAAAGTCAATCAACCAGAGGAAATAAAATTATATGGAAAGAAGCTCAACCTTTCTGGGGATGCTTCATTCTTAAGGTGGAAGAGTTATAGTGCAAATTCTCATGTAATACAAGAAAATACGGGTGCATCGTTGCTAAGAAAATAAACTGGACAGTTTTGGGAGCGATTTGTCATCATTTTTAATGCTTAAAAGTATGTTTTATGTATGTTTACATTAGAACCTTAGCTTGTAATTACAGTTATCCAATAAAATTTCTGAAAACTTAATGACATATGTTTTTAACTCATACAGAGTATACAACAGTTTAATACATTTATTATTATAAAACTTATAACCAGTACTAGATGTTCTAATAACGATATGGAACACTTTAATAACAGTTATTGCTATTATTTCGTAAAGGGTATAAAAAACGTTGTATACTAGTTATACAATAATTTAATAAAGAGTAAGGATTATAGTCACTATACAACTGTACTAGCAATACGCGTTTTATATCCAATATTCACCTGTTTAACTGTCACATATAGTATACAATGGTCTTATAATGGTATATAGAATTCTAATAAAGAATAAAACGTATTTCTTTCAGTGTACTATTACATCGCTTAAAGTTATATAACTGTTTTTTAATAGCAAAAAATGTATCTTTTTAGATTTTTAATGCCTTAATAAGGTGTTAATTTGCTCCTATAGCAATTTTGGTATATAAAAAAGCCGTTAGAATATTCTAATAGTAAAATTATACAACAATTTTATAGAGGCTTTCTTAGAGTCTTATAAACGTGGTAAATGAAACTTCTATAAAAGTTTAAAGTGTAATAGCTGTTTCCTTGTTTTTTATAATGTTATAAACACTTACCGGTCAATTTTTAAAGCTTTTATATACAGTATATTGATTGCACTATTAATGTTGTATAACATTATCATTTAAATATACTATATGACTAAATTATAAACAATTTTAGCTTTTTAAGATAAATATTATCACAAACAAGCTTTAAAAAAGATTATATAAAAGGGTTTTATTACAGCTGTAAGCAGAATAGTTTATTGTACTTATAAAACTGCTATATAGTAAAGTTTTCCAAGGCATATATATGAAGATATTTTCCGTAACCTAAAAAAATCTGTGAATTAGAAAGTTTTAGTGTTAATACACTACAACAAATATGGCGATAAAACTGCATATTGTTTTTTAAAATTTAGATATCTGCTATACGTTATGTCCTAGGATATTATTAGTTACCCATCAGGAAGACACTGGAATTATTAATTTTAATTATATTATTACGTTCAAATAAGCCCTTTATTAGAGTTTGTTTATACGATACGTTGCTTTTACAGTCACTGCAAAATTATTTTGTGCTGCAAACAACAACACTAAAAGTACTGTAATACTGTTTACTGATTATAATTTCATTAATTATTAATACAATTAACACTAACTGATAATGATTTCCTTTTTAGGCATCCATTCACGTCTCTTCTAGAATGTATTCGTTGTTTGTGACCAATAAGCGGCTGATTGGCCCATATGATTATCAAATTTGTGACTGTGACAGTACTCCGTATACAGGGTGTATTTAAATGGAGGGGCACAAATGATACCAGAGATTCCTTTGGTGAAAATAAGTCGATTTAACCTAACATACCTATATCCCAAGTCGCATAATAAAAAAGATACAGGGTGTCAAAGTGAAAAATAAAAAATGGTTTTTTCCTTAATAATTTCTATAATTTTAATCAGAAATGTTTCAAATTTTCAACAGAGAGGTTTTTTAAGGATGGGAAAAATAATATAATAATGATTTTTGAGTGTCGAGTACGAGGCGCCCTCTGATTGCAAAGTTATGCATTAAATACGTAGTAACTTTTTTGCCAATCCCCGTATTCAGCTTTTAGTAACAAAATATGAAATATTGGACTTTTTTTAACAAAAAAGGTATACTTATTGAAAATGGCTAAAGCCAACCGTTGAGATATTTTCAATTTCATAAATTAGGATTTATACCTCTATGAATACCAAAGTTCGAGTTGCTTAAATAAATTAAAAAATCGAGTGGATAAATGTTAGTTGATAATACTCGTAAAACGCAATTTTGAAGTATTAGTTTAAAGTGTTAATTGATTTTAGTCACTATTTACCTGCATCCCAGATATTAAATAGTTTTGGAATTGAATAAAATAATAAATTATGTATACTAATGATGAGTATGTCGATATGTTGCAAGTATTTTGTAAATGTTACAAGAACTGTGCTGCTGCTGTACAACTTTATCATGCCAGATATCATGCCAGATATCCCAATCGTCGTGTTCCTGCTAGAAAAACTTTTGCGGCGGTAGAAAGAAGACTTCGAGGAAACGGACACATTCAATCTCGTCCTGAAAGTTCTGGCAGAAGACGTCTTATTCGCGATATAGAACTTGAAGAAGTTGTCCTTGGCAATTTACAAGATCAGAATTCTGAAACTAGTACCAGAAAATTGGCGACACAGTATAACGTTTCACATACTACGATTTGGAAAATTGCCAATGATAATCTTTTATACCCCTACCATCTACAACCTGTGCAGGAATTGACTGCTGCGGATTTACTTAACAGTATCGATTTTTGCAATGGTATATGAACATTTCAAGGGAAAACAGAAATATTTTATCCAGTGTTTTGTTTGGTGATAAAGCGTCATTTCAAAGACATGGTTTAGTGAACCATCACAATAATCACTGATGGTCTGACGAAAATCCTCACCAAGTTTGTACATGTAAATTTCAACATAATTTTAGTTTAAATGTATTAGCAGGAATCGTAGAAGATTATCTTATTGGTCCGTTTATTATTCCTCGGCGTCTCGGCGTAGTGGAATATTTAAGATTTTTAAATGAGCAACTCCCAATATTGCTTGAAGACGTGCCACTAGCTATCCGTGAACATATGTGGTACGCACATGACGGATCTCCTGCTCCTGGTACATTAGCTGTTAGACAATGGTTAAATTTAAATTTTCCTGGGCGATGGATAGGTCGAGGGGACGATGCACCAGTCAAATGGCCTGCGCGATCACCGGATCTCACACCCATGGACTATTTTTTATGGAGTCACTTAAAAAATGTTGTTTATTCCAACCCTATTGATAGTGTGAAGACGCTTCGTCAAAGAATTTTTGAAGCAGCTAAGGAAGTAAAGAATGACATACATATTTTTTCAAGANCTCTTCTAGAATGTATTCGTTGTTTGTGACCAATAAGCGGCTGATTGGCCCATATGATTATCAAATTTGTGACTGTGACAGTACTCCGTATACAGGGTGTATTTAAATGGAGGGGCACAAATGATACCAGAGATTCCTTTGGTGAAAATAAGTCGATTTAACCTAACATACCTATATCCCAAGTCGCATAATAAAAAAGATACAGGGTGTCAAAGTGAAAAATAAAAAATGGTTTTTTCCTTAATAATTTCTATAATTTTAATCAGAAATGTTTCAAATTTTCAACAGAGAGGTTTTTTAAGGATGGGAAAAATAATATAATAATGATTTTTGAGTGTCGAGTACGAGGCGCCCTCTGATTGCAAAGTTATGCATTAAATACGTAGTAACTTTTTTGCCAATCCCCGTATTCAGCTTTTAGTAACAAAATATGAAATATTGGACTTTTTTTAACAAAAAAGGTATACTTATTGAAAATGGCTAAAGCCAACCGTTGAGATATTTTCAATTTCATAAATTAGGATTTATACCTCTATGAATACCAAAGTTCGAGTTGCTTAAATAAATTAAAAAATCGAGTGGATAAATGTTAGTTGATAATACTCGTAAAACGCAATTTTGAAGTATTAGTTTAAAGTGTTAATTGATTTTAGTCACTATTTACCTGCATCCCAGATATTAAATAGTTTTGGAATTGAATAAAATAATAAATTATGTATACTAATGATGAGTATGTCGAT